AAGTGATTGAAGAGGTGGAACATAGAAAAAAAGAAAGAGGTAGAGAGAGAGAAAGACAGACGGAAGAGAATGAGATGGAAGAGGGATTTAAGAATAAGAGACAGGAGAGAGAGATGGAAAAGAGAGACGAGAGATATAGAAAGTGATAAAAAAGAATGAGACTGAATAGATGTAAGAGAAAGGAGAGAGAAAGAAATGGGGAAGAATGGAAAAGAGAGAGGGGGGAAACTGCTGGAAGAGACATATATGGAAAAGACAGGAAGATAGAAGAAAGAGAGAGATGGAAGAGATAGAGAAAGACAGAGAGAGAGAGAGAGAGTCAGAGAGGGAGAGAGTGATAAAAAAGAAAGAGAAAGAAAGAAAGAAAGAAAGAAAGAAAGAAAGAAAGAAAGAAAGAAAGAAAGAAAGAAAGAAAGAAAGAAAGAAAGAAAGAAAGAAAGAAAGAAAGAAAGAAAGAAAGAAAGAAAGAAAGAAAGAAAGAAAGAAAGAAAGAAAGAAAGAAAGAAAGAAAGAAAGAAAGAAAGAAAGAAAGACAGAAAGAAAGAAAGAAAGAAAGAAAAGAAAGAAAGAAAGAAAGAAAGAAAGAAAGAAAGAAAGAAAGAAAGAAAGAAAGAAAGAAAAAAAGAAAGAAAGAAAGAAAGAAAGAAAGAAAGAAAGAAAGAAAGAAAGAAAGAAAGAAAGAAAGAAAGAAAGAAAGAAAGAAAGAAAGAAAGAAAGAAAGAAAGAAAGAAAGAAAGAAAGAAAGAATCTTTTTGTCTAACAAAAACTCAACAGTAAAGACAGTTGCTTCTGCAACAAATAAAACAGTAAAATAAAATACCTCTAGGAAGTGAATATCTATCAAGGCAGTCATGGATCGAGTCGTTATGATGAGAGGCAGTGGACGACCACCAAGTAACTGGGCTCAGGCTGTGACAGTAGGTTTACATATGACAGCACACAGGGATCGAGACATCTGGGATATGATAGAGAACATAGGCGCCAGTTACGATGGGGATAAGGTACTTTGACGCACCCCCCCCCCCACCCTCACTTTAATTGGTGACAGTATAGGCACCCCACCCACAGTAATTTGAAGGGAGCCCCCGCCCCCTCCTTTCCCGCCCCTGAACTCCCCTCCCCAGCTTCCCCCACCCATTAATCCACCATATTACCACATTCTCATGTTAAGCTCTTATTTATACATATCTTATTATTTTATATGCATTTTTTTTTATATGCCATTCAGCGCCCAGAAAAATATTATTGTTAGTATTGCGAATTTTGACTCGTAATCCAACGTACCGCGATCGAAACCTGCGTGGGCTGCGTGGATTTTTATCGTGGTATGGGACGTCGCAGGTCGACCCAGCCTTAAATGGGTACCAGGATGGGCTGTCCTGGGAAAGTAAAGACGGCCGGCGTAATGCTGACCACATTACCCACAGAGTGCCGATTGGTCTGAAAAATATGGGTGCTCTTCCCATATGCCCGATGCGCCTAAGGGCGTGTAAAGGGATCTTTACTTTTTTACTTATTGCGAATTTTAAACTAGGCTTCAGCAACTTGACGTCTCTGTAGGATTTTTTTTAGTGACTCAAGGGGATTAAATTTTGTTAAAATGTGCAAAAATAATAAAACTACTGTTGTTATAATACGTTTTTTACTATTATTCCGCAACTAAACCAGGCACTCCCTCCCAGAAAACAATAGGATGATGATTATATGACCGATTATAATTAAAAGAATCAATTACTTTGAATTTCATTCATTCATTCAGTAGCATGTCCCTCGCTGCCATAACAACCCTCCGGAAAACCTTCCTATCCTGAGCAAGATGTCCTGCGTCTGATACACCCATCTGGAGATCATCTGCCACATCCTGCACCCATCTTCTCCTTGGCCTTCCTCTTCCGCTCTTCCCAGGCATATACCCCTCCATTATTGTTCTCTCTAGACTTCCATGACGTTTCAAGTGACCAAAATATTTCAATTTTCTTTGTTTTATTGTCTTTACTAGCCAACCCTCTTCCATATTCAGCTCTTGAAGTATGGATGCATTTGTTCTTTTCTTTACCCAAGATATTCTTAGAACCTGTACTTTGAATTTACGCTTTGTATATTCCAGTCCTCAATGAAAATAATCGATTATTTTGAATGCCTAAATTGTTGATTTCGATCTTCGTTACATTTGTTAATTCTTGAAATAACCCACCCAAGACGAAACAGGGAGAACCGCTTTCTAAAACGGGTCAAATATAAAGAGAGCGCACAGTGACACCTCATCATAGCTTTAACGTTTGGTCATTATACAAGTTTAGATTTGTCCGCCATGGGTGTAGTTGAAGCAGTCATCAGTCTTGCTGCTAACAATCAATCACTGCTGATTGCTGCTGTACTGCTGTTGGTTTTTGTGGCTACCATATACTCATTTTTCTCTGGCGGACAGAAAGGTATAAACCCGCTACAGTATGACCACAGGAGAGCTCCGGAACCGTTTGTTCATGACACCAAACTCCGGGATGTTGTACTCAGGGAGAGTAAGTAGAACCGTTAGATTATGTCACCAAACTCCGGGATATTGTACTCAGGGAGAGTAAGTAGAACCGTTAGATTATGTCACCAAACTCCGGGATATTGTACTCAGGGAGAGTAAGTAGAACCGTTAGATTATGTCACCAAACTCCGGGATATTGTACTCAGGGAGAGTAAGTAGAACCGTTAGATTATGTCACCAAACTCCGGGATATTGTACTCAAGGAGAGTAAGTAGAACCGTAGAATTCTTGCTAGCTACATACATCCAGTTTTAACATATGGCTGTGAATCCTGGACAATCGGTAGGCAGGCCAAACAATTTCTTGAGGCCTCAGAGATGTGGTTTTACAGATGAATGCTTAAAATACCTTTGACAGCTAAAAAGAGCAACCAAGAGGTTTTAAAACAGGCGGGAGCCCGAAGACAACTTATCACATACATCAGGAGACAGTCATCATTTTTATGTTATCAGAAGAGGGAAAATAGAACATGTTGTGACCACTGGAAAGATCTGTGGAAGGGGGGACAGAGGAAGACAACGGTTAATCGTCCGCTTGGACTTTTGGCTTTCACCTGGACCTGATTTTTGCGTGTACAACCGTTTTTCATTTCCCTGCCTCATGGGCAGCTGTACTCCGACTTCGAAGGAAGACGTCAGGCCTATTTCTAGGTTGACTGTGGCCATTGTTTTGTGTGGGTCGGGACGTTGCCTGATTTGTGTGGTGTCCACTTTGTCTCCTCCGCAGGTATTGCCCTCGGAGTACCTCTTTGGGGCAGCCCCCTGTGGAACAGTTAGCCCTCAAGGGAAGGCAGGGGCAGATCATGGGCATTCCCCGCCATCCAAGGAGGCTTCCATGCATGCAGAGCCGGCACATGGCGCTCTGGTTCTGGGCTCACCCAAGGAATCGTCACGTCCTGCACATGCCTGCCCGTGGGTTTTGGACTTTTGTGACCACACAGATAGGTACATTCTTTTTTCTTCGCACGTTAGATTTCTTTGACGAGCCGTTAGCCCGACAGAATTTTACATCCTGCATCTGGCATATAGTTATCAGTTTTGTCCCAACACTCGGGCGAGTGGGGTCTTTGGGTGTGGACATTCGGTCTTTTTCAGTTCAATACAAATTTTGATGGTCGGATTTTGATCCGTATGATCTAGTTTTGTCGGACAATTAGGATGGTTGCTGTTGTGGTGTACCTCAGCGCGGTGTCGACGACACTGAGGGTTAACCGAGGATGTACATGAATGGCCAGCCTATGGATGGTTGCTGTTGTGGTGTACCTCAGCGCGGTGACGACGACACTGGGGGTTAACCGAGGATGTACAAGGTTGGCCAGCCTATGGATGGTTGCTGTTGTGGTGTACCTCAGCGCAGTGACGACGACACTGAGGGTTAACAGAGGATGTGCAGTGAACGATGTTCTCTTTACTCCGCAGTCTTTTAACCAAGGGTTGTAATTTTGGCTGTACGTTTGGCAAACCTACTCATGTTCCTAATGAGTTTTGATAACATTTTTCACCCAAGCGTTTGGGGGCGGGCTGATGAGAGCCACAAGGACACATCACCTCTGGGGGCCGCCGAACTTCTAGATCCCCTGACAGCTCTGTTAATGCTCATTTGAGACATTATCCGTGGCGCACGACGAGGACGTGCTGTAGGGGTATTGCGTGAGGTTCCGTACAACCAGGATAGTTAAGGACTGGCGCCCGAGTGACGTACGGAGTATCTCCTTATACACATCATGTTGGACTTAACTTCCCCTCACGCCTGTGACATAAATCACCGCGCCACTGCCTCTGGCTTGATTGCCTTCAACTTTTCCATGCAGTATAGTTTTTAAAAGCCTGGTATATCTTTTAATATGGCCGAAATATTTCGCATGCCGTTTTCTTTTATTTCCTTCAGCATCTACATTTTCATTTTTAGTCTCTTCTGAACCACAGTATCTGACTCATAATCCGGCAAACGTTTCCAGATATTTTCACATGTTTACAAACCTTTTCCTGCACACAAAAAAACTTTAAAAAAAAAAAACGTTTATAAGCATTTCTCCACGCTATTTTGTGAAAAACTTTCCCAAGAATTTTCTATGCAATTTAAAAACCGTTTAGATGCAGTTTTTAAAAATGCTTCAACAACCTTTACATTGCAGTGGGATTTTTTTTTTTTTTTTTCTTCAAGCTATCACAAGCTTTTTTTCACATGCTGAATTTTTTTTTTTTTTTTTTTTTTTTCTTTTTTTTTTTTCTTTTTTTTTTCTATTTCACAAGCTTTTTCATTTACAATTTGTTTGAATTCACTCAAAAACCTTTAACCATTTAATGTGTCTTATACTTTTACCAGCATTTCCAGCAGCAATATTTGTTTAATTATTCCACCACGTTTCCTTATGCAATATTTTTAAAACTTTTACAAGCTTTCACTCTTGCAATATTTTGTTTATTGTCACAAGCTTTCGCCCAAAACAGTCGTTGTTAATTACTAAGCTTGTCGCTCGGTCGTCCAGGCACGCTGACTGTTCTAATTAGGCTGCCGCAACGACTTCTTATCTCACAGTACCTTCTGCGAAACCACCAAGTCGTCTTGTCCCTATCCGAAAGAAAAACACCATCCGGTAATCTCGTGCAGCAGGGTACCAGCCCTGAGCTTCATGAACTCAGGTGGGCCCACCTCCGAAAGCGTCTAGGAATCGTGGGCCGAAACGCTCGTTGACGAGGATAATTTCTACTGAAGACTGGTAGATCCCTGCTGTACTTGCTCCCTGTGAGTTTATTCCTATGAGAATGAGTGATTTTATTTATTACTTTACCCAACATTGCTTCATAACTTCAGGATTCAAACCCACGAAAGTGCCCGACAACCTGGACGCTATCATCATCGGCAGCGGGGCTGGAGGACTTTCGGCGGGAGTCCTGCTGACGTTTGCTGGCCTGAAAGTCCTGGTCCTGGAGCAGCACGACCAGGCTGGTGGATGTTGTCATACCTTTGTGGAGAAAGGGTTCGAGTTCGACACCGGTATGTATGTACGTCAATGTGATTTCTCAGCATTAGCAGTCTGTCAGATAGGATTGAGCTACCAAATATCAGGGAGACGACATGGTTTAGTGACTAGTCACTCACCTGAGGAACCGATGGTCGTGGGGTCAAGTCCTGACAGAGCCAAAGCTTTCCCAAAAATTGACCTTAACTCTCAGGTCAAACCAGCCTTTAAAAGAGACTAGGTAAAGACATGGGAAGTAAAGGCGGCTGGCGTGATGTTGACCTCATCACCTATCGAAGGCCGAAAAGGTTTATAACATTTTGGTCTATAACATATTGGTCTATAACATTTTGGTCTATAACATTTTGGTCTATAACATATTGGTCTATAACATTTTGGTCTATAACATTTTGGTCTATAACATTTTAATCTATAACATACTAGTCTCTAACATATCGGTCTTAACATTTTGGTCTATAAAATATTGGTCTATAACATATTTGTCTATAACATATTGGTCTATAATATATTGGTCTATAATATATTGGTCCATAATATATTGGTCTTAAACGTATTGGTCTATAATATATTGGTCTATAATATATTGGTCTATAATATATTGGTCTATAATATATTGGTCTTAAACATATTGGTCTATAATATATTGGTCTATAATATATTGGTCTGTAACATATTGGTCTCTAACATATCGGTCTATAAAATTTTGTCTATAACATACTAGTCTCTAACATATCGGTCTGTAACATATTGGTCCAAAGTATACTGGTCTCTAACAAATCGGTCTATAACATTTTGGTCTATAACATAATGGTCTTTAACATATTGGTCAATAACATACTAGTCTCTAACATATTGTCAATAACATATTGGTCTATAACATATTAGTCTATAACATACTGGTCTTTAACATATCGGTCTATAACATACTGGTCTCTAACATATTGGTCTCTAACATATCGGTCTTTAACATACTGGTCTATAACATACTGGTCTCTAACATATCGGTCTATAACATTTTGGTCTATAACATTATGGTCTATAACATAATGGTCTATAACATAATGGTCTATAACATAATGATCTATAACATATTGGTCTTCTTCTTCTTCTTCTTCTTCTTCTTCTTCTTCTTCTTCTTCTTCTTCTTCTTCTTCTTCTTCTTCTTCCTCTTCTTTCGTTCGCTTGAAATAGATTATCTATATCAGCAATGTTGTCTCTAGTATAAACTTCACTGGCTTTTGTAATTCACTCAGTGACCCGTAAAGTTTGACTTGCACCGATGTTGATCAGATAGATATGAATGAGCTAGCATGCTATAACAATAGCCGGTACGACCTTTTCTGCAGTAACTCTGAATTTCGTGCAGCGTATACCAAAGCTGTTATCCAACGTGGTACCAGTGGCTTCACCGGAGGAGAAACAGATTACGAAAAGGATGCTGTCCAAATTGAGAGTGAAATCTGATATTAACTGTTTCAAAGACTTATTAAATTAATTTTAAGACTGAAAGTATGTTACCGATTACATAAGCCTTGCATTTGATATCACAATGTCTAGTTTGAGAATGGAGGTAGGGGCAGTCTCTGCTGCCTTCTGCTGGCTTGAGAATCAGCTGTACACTTATGCCGTAATTGTAACTGACTCACAAAGCATGTTGAGAAAGGTGAAAACAGGCATGCTTCGTGCAGATTGTCAAGCATCACTTCATAGGTCCTGGGTAGTTAGCAGCCTTTTGATATTTTCTCCAGGTAAAAGACGCTGGCGTTGGATAGGGCACACACTGAGAAAACAGGAGAACAGCATAACTAGAATGTCTTTGCATTGGAACCCACAGGGGCAAAGGAAGACCAAAAAACACATGGAGAAGAGAGCTGGAGAACGAGGTTAGAAAGATGGGGAGGACATGGGGAGAGCTCCATGTAATGGCGAAGGATAGAACGACTTGGCGTGAGTTGGTTGAGGGCCTATGCTCCATTGGGGGATAGAAAGGCAGAAGAAGAAGAATGCTGGTGTGTTGGGGAAGGAGCAGGCAGATAGAGAGACTGACTGGCTCTGCACCATTTGGGGTTGAATTGAAGTATGACAAGTTAGATATTGTGAGGGCCCTTTGGGAGCGAGTGAACAGTGCGGTGGCGCAGATAGATCATCACGGTCTAAGGAGAATGGCGCTGCGAGGAGTTACCAGGGAATCTGGCCGACGTTCAACACTCAGGGGAAGGGTGAGACGGATATACAATCGGACGGTTACTGGAGCCATTGGAATTGGAACTCTTCGCATGCTGCTGAAGATGGGGTTTGAGCACTTATGGGAGTGTCCCGAGTGCTGTGATGTCGATTCTTAATTCAACATATTTGCAAACGAAGTCTACATGGACAACAACCTTCTGTGTTGACAGGGGTCCACTACGTCGGAGACATCGAAGAAGGTGACGTTCCCCGGATCCTCGTTGATCAGGTGACCTGCGGCCAACTGAGGTGGGCCAAAATGGACGACGCCTTTGATATTGTGAGTAAACTGACTGCTTCTGTCTTATGGTTGTATGTATAACTCTCCCAGGGGCGCTGATACTGACAATACATTAGGCATGGGAACCCAGATCCTCCCATATATTTTCTAAGGATAGGGCCACCCAAGGACGAAACCTTGTTTAAATGCGCAATAATAAGTAAGGTAAAGTAGCCTTTTCATGCCTGTAGGCGTATTGGCCATGTATAGTATTATACCTATATTTTATAGACCAATGTGGTCAGCCTCACATCGGCCGCATTTATTTCCCAGGACTTTACCTGGTACCCACTTAACGCTGGGTGGACCTGGAAGTCAAGGTCGTGTTTTTAAGAAGAAAAAAATCTTGCTCGACGGGGATTTGAACCCATGACTTTCAGATCCGCAGGCGAGCGTCTAGCCGGTACACCAAGGCGGCTGCAATAATAATAATGATGATTATGATGATGTTGATCATCATGATGATGATGATGATGTACCCATTATTATTAAGGTTAGTTGCGTATCCTTTACAGGACGTTGCAAAACGTGTGGGTTTTCTAGGCAAATTTACGTCCAGCTTTCTTGATACCACTGCCGAAACCAATGCAAGGCGCGTGGTCCGCAGCTGGGATCGAACCCGGCATCCCGGCATTACGAAGCGTTCGCATCGACTTAGCCACAGAGCCGAAATATTATTATTATCGAATACAAATAATAAGATAGTAGGTATCCTTGACATCAGCTGTTTCTTGCCAATGCTCCACCTGCACCATTCAGAGTCTTCACCGTCGTTTCAATTAACAAATTAATGAAATTAAAAATTTAAAAAAGAGAAACTTGAATCCGCAGCCATTAACTCTAAAGTTATTGACAGACAACGAAAGTTTGACAGCGCCCCCTATACTTTTATGTGCAGCTTCTTATCTCGGACAAAAAGGCTAATTTATTCTATTGAATGTTTTCGATAATATGAAGTGGAAATAGGGGGTCTGCAGTTTCGCAGTGCCCAGGAACTAGCTCCAACGGGTATGGGGCCTAGGTACCCCATCCGCCACCCCCTCACCCGTAAATAATGTATAGAAGCTAAATGTTTAGATATTGGTTTTATATATTTCGTACTGTGTCAAACATATTACAAAAAGAAACAAGATACGACTGCGTGCAGCCCCTTGAATCTCCTGTATGGCGCTAAAGCTCCATCCCCTTCTCACTTCCCTCCTCTTTTCCATGTTTTCTTTGTGTCGGTGCCCCTGTCGACGTGCTGTGTGATAATGTATTATCACAACCAGAAATGTTTTGGTTCTAAAACATAGGTACAGGTACTGCCACAAAGTGTCTATCACAGTACAGTAGTGCACATAATTTGACTAAGCAACTTAATAAAAGAAAAGATATAAAACCGAACGAAAAGTAGATCAGCGAGCTTCACCATATAACAAATACAAACGAAAAGTTAGCGTTGCGGCTACTCAGCTTTCATCAGCGCATACATAAACAAAACCACAGGTATATACAAAATCAATTAACTAATGTATCCCGAAGCAGCAACGTTGATGTCTAACCAAGAGAAAAACAACATGCAGGCACAAACAGACGTTTTGGCAGCAACCTTTATCCATAAAAACTAAAACAACCAATGAGAGATTATGTAGGAGAAGCTCTTTACAACAAGGATACGAGAAGATCATCAAATAACTCCAGACCCCACCATTATTGCCTTCAGTACCTGCCAAAGCAAGCAACCACAGGTCCTTCTTAGGATAGGCAATCCCCACTCCTCGGAAACAGCAAACGGCCAATGAATTCTACACAAAATCGACTCAACATCCAATGATCTAGAGCGCAGCACAGGGCCAGCCAAGTTACGAAAGCAGACAATCGAGCGGAAACAACAACAAATAGAAAGCGACAAATTCTGAACACAATCCAAAACCAAATGAGATCGAGACCAGAAACGTCACCACAAATATAGCAGACAGGAAAGAGAGCAGCAATGTGATCTGACCTAGCTGAAAGTGATCAACGTAAGAGAATTAGAATTAGAATGAGAGAATATCTCGCACTTCATGAAGGTACGTGAATAAATTTACAATGTCATCTGAGGAATAGGAAAAGATGGTACGGGAGAACTCAAATAAAACACCCTTGCAGTAATGCTAGAGAACAAAAGGACGAAAAACGGGTTACCGCCCTGAAACCTCCTGACCACAACTGTACTAACGTGTTGTGTATTCGAGGAGGTAAACTATGCCTGACTTATGGTTAATCTAAAGTTTGCTTTAATTCAAAGGTGGCAGTTGGGAAATCTTCTAACGCCAAACTGTTCCCCATGAAGTCCGGAGAGGATAGATACTATCAAAATCTGGTGACACAGTTTCCTCAGGAGAAAGCGGCCATCATGGCTTACGCTGACCTGATCAAGGTATGGCCTACTTTTCTACAGCCATCCGGCATGGATCATCATCATCATCTTCATGTAACAGGTCTTTTGCGAAAGGGAACTCACCACAGTCTGTTGGAAAGAAACGGTCTCTCGCCAGCTCTCCCGACTCGTGTACTTTAATATCCAAGGAGTCAGTTATATCCTGTGTCCATCGTCGTGTTTGTCACCCTCTGCCCCTCCTTCCTGGTACCATGCCTTCTACTATTTCAATAACAACAACAACAACAAAATGGTCCACTGTGACAGTTTCTGAGACAAGATGATGTATATTAGCCAATCTTCCTTGATGTTCAGACCTTCATAAAGTCAGTTTTTCTTCTCCATGTTCAGATCTTCAAAAAGTCAGTATTTCTTTTCTTCTTTGTCGATAATATTCTGAGAATCTTTCTACGGCGTTTCAGCTAAAATGCCCCTATTTTCTCCCATAAGGACTGGTAGACAGTCCACGACTCACGTGTGTATGTTGCATGGATACGTCAAAAAATATATGGTGTGCGTTTATGGTGACCCTTAGACAAATGGTACGAATCTGATGTGTGTATATACTAATCAACACGCGGATAATGTGATCAATATCGCAGTCCACTTTTACTTCCCGTAATAGTATTCAATCTTCGGCACTGCCAGTCCCAAGTCCGGATGAGAAAGGAGGAGGGTTGATTCTGGAGCCAACTCCCTCACCGTGTTGTTTAACTTGCAAACAAGAGTGCGACTCTGGTGAAAAAATGAGTCAAGCGGTGTGTGGTGCACAGATATCAATTATAATGAATTTCAGACTAGGACAGACATAAGACAAATGTCTGGAAAGCTGCTGGTTTCAACAGCTATAAAACAGAGAATGTGGCGCTACCTTGAACACATCCTGAGAAAAGATGAACAGATAATCACAGACAAGGCACTGAAATAGGAAACAGATGGATTGAAGAAACGAGGGCATCCAGGAGAAACTATTAGCTAAACGGTGACAAGAGAGGCCAAAGCTGCAGGACTGGATACCACCCATGATATTGATCTGATTGCTCAGTATGAAAGGGAATGGAGGAACAGACCACGAGCCCTGTGTGACATAAAATGGCACAAGAGGACAATGCATGAATAAATGCTGAGCTGGTTTAAGAGGCCAAGACAATACATGAATAAATGCTGAGCTGGGTTTAAGAGGCCAAGACAATACATGAATAAATGCTGAGCTGGGTTTAAGAGGCCAAGACAATGCATGAATGAATGTTGGGCTGTGTTTAGGGGGACAATGCATGAATGAATGCTAGGCTGGGTTTAAGAGGACAATGCATGAATGAATGTTGGGCTGGGTTTAAGAGGACAATGCATGAATAAATGCTAGGCTGGGTTTAAGAGGACAACGCATAAATGAATGTTGGCCTGGGTTTAAGAGGACAACGCATAAATGAATGTTGGCCTGGGTTTAAAAGGACAATGCATAAGTGAATGTTAGGCTGGGTTTCAGTTGAAAACAATTGTCTTATCAGTTGGGATTTGAATATATTTCCACTGGAGCAGCAGACTTGCCGGTTAGCTGCCACGCCACCGCTGCTGTCTGACAGAACGTGGCTGGGTTCAAATCCTTTGCATATTTTTTAATTCGCCTACCCAGGCACATGTCTGGCACGGATAACGATGAAACATTTGTTAATATTGAGTTTATCTTGTAAAAAGCGACTCGTCCACCCAACGTTCAGCATCTCATTTTTATCTTGCGACCTGTTGAAGGATCCTTTTGCCGTTAGTGGTGTACTCGTCCCATGATGCTACATTTACATGTTTATAGAGAAATCTGTTCTTCTTGTTGATGTGGTCAACATCACGCCGGCCGCCTTTACTTTCTAGGTTTCCAACTCATATCCATTTGCTAGGAGCCAAGGTTATTCTTTGAAAATCCGACTCGAACCCAAGAACTTCGAGACAGAGGCAAGCTTCTCTCTGCTCACTCCCTATTAGGCTCTGAATTGGGTGTCGTCTCACAAGTAATCACTAACATCCGTGAAAGAAACATTACTGAGGCTTCATCTCAACTACTTACAAATACGGCGCTGAATCATTACTTAGTTACAACATCATTACTTAGCTACAACATCATTACTTAGCTACAACATTATTACTTAGTTACAACATCATTACTTAGCTACAACATCATAACTTAGTTACAACCTCATTACTTAGCTACAACATCATTACTTAGTTACAACATCATTACTTAGTTACAACATTATTACTTAGTTACAACCACATTACTTAGCTACAACATCATTACTTAGTTACAACCTCATTACTTAGCTACAACATCATTAATTAGTTACAACATCATTACTTAGCTACAACATCATTACTTAGTTACAACCTCATTACTTAGCTACAACATCATTACTTAGTTACAACATCATTACATAGTTACAACATTATTACTTAGTTACAACATCATTACTTAGCTACAACATCATTACTTAGTTACAACATCATTACTTAGCTACAACATCATTACTTAGCTACAACATCATTACTTAGTAACAACATCACAAAACTCTCCTCATATATCCAGTTCCAGTACCACTCTTGCACCACTGTTGGTTTCTGAGGTTGAAAAGTGTAAGAAAAGCTCTGAACTATAATCCAGTGAAGATGGTGCTTTGACTGCTGGTCGGGAGACCAGCTTTCCCACGAACCTCACTCCCAGACGTAAAAGTTCTCTCAGGACCTGGTCATCTAAGCGAAAGAACATCATAGTTAAACAGTTTTCCAGTAGATCTTTCGCCAGTCACCCTATAATGTTATCTGTCTCGGGTACACAACCTCACCTTAAAATGATGTCTCTTAGGACACGCATGACTGCCTGTTCGGGTTTACTGTCCTCAAGATGACCTGTTCATCTGAACGAAAGAACATCATAGTTAAACAGTAGATCTTTCGTCAGTCACCCTATAATGTTATCTGTCTCTGGTACACAACCCCATCTTAATATGATGTCTCTTAGGACACGCAGGACTGCCTGTTAGGGTTTATCGCCCTCAAGATGATGCCCTGGTGGCTGGTCGATGTTTTCGTCACAACAGGATTGTACCGCTGGGTTCTCAAATGCTACAGGAGAGGCTACGCCAGTACCAGTCTCCAAAATGTCCTCGATAAACTCACAGACAACAAAAAGCTGAAACTAATCCTCTCTTACCTCTGCTCGGATTATGGTAATGTTACAGTTTCGTTTATGTTAGGTTATGGTTGTTTTCATAAATTTTTTTTTCTTGGGGGGGGGGGGGGGGGGTGGGGTATGTGGGGGTGTAATTTTGTTACCGTAATTTTTTCCCATTTGTCTTGCGTTGGTTTCGACAAACTGACAGCACAGAAGCAATGACAAACTACTAAATGTAAAATGTTCATAGAAAATACACAGCAACCATAGCAATGCTGAGGTTAGTTCTGTAACGTCATGTATTCTTTTTTTTTAAAATAATCAGTGTGCTATGGGAGCATTTAGAATCTACACTTTAAGACTTTTGCTGCGGGAGACGGAACATCATTAGGTATGTCCGGTGTGCTATGATGTCGATTCTTAAATTAGTAATCTACATAACGTTGAATATGCACTACAGATATGTAGTCTACATGCAGTAGAAAGATCGCAGGGATGACCGGCTGGCCTTCCAATGGAAACCAAACTGTATGAAACAGTGGTAGATATGCCTGATGACCCCCACAGACCTCATAGAGACCCGGGGACCTTCTCATCTGAAGACCATTTGAATCGATAAGGAAAACAAGAAGAAAAAAAATCAATTATCAGCAACGGCTGACTGTTAACAGAAGAAAAAACTTGCCTCGACTAAAAATAGTAAGCCAGCCTATCCACTATGTGGAAAGTATCTACTCACAGTTATTTCGATTGCTTCAGCTGTAATGGTTTGGTTGGAGCAGTCATGGGCGCTACGGTACATAGGAGAAGAGGTAGGGCGCTACCAGTGCGTTGTGGACAAGGATATCAAGGATACTCTGGCGGTGGTAGCCAAGGATATCAAGGATACTCAGACGGTGGTGAACAAGGATATCAAGGATACTCTGGCCGTGGTGGTCAAGGATATCAAGGATATTCTGGCGGTGATAAACAAAGATATCAAGGATACCCTGGCGGTGGTGGACAAGGATATCAAGGATACTCTGGTGTTGGTGGACAATGATATCAAGGATACTCTAGCGGTGGTGAACAAGGATATCAAGGATACTCTAGCGGTGGTGGACAAGGATATCAAGGATACTCTGGTATTGGTGGACAAGAATATCAAGGATACTCTAGCGTTGGTGGACAAGGATATCAAGGATACTCTGGCGGTGGTGGACAAGGATATCAAGGATACTCTGGCGGTGGTGGACAAGGATATCAAGGATACTCTGGCGGTGGTGGACAAGGATATCAAGGATACTCTGGCGTTGGTGGACAAGGATATCAACGATACTCTGGTGGTGGTGAACAAGGATATGAAGGATACTCTATCTTTGGTGGACAAGGATGTCAAGGATACTCTAGCGGTGAAAGTTCACGAAAAAGAAATCTTGCTAAAGGACCTAGTGACTTTCTAGCGTGCCGCGATGATGGCGACGTTCTGCGAAAGACCTGGCAAGGATTTTTGTGGTCGACATTACGCCCACCGACTTTACTTCCCAGGACTTTATCTGGTACCCATTTAAAGCTGAGTCAACCTGGTTCGTGAGATTATTTTTTTTTTAAATGTTCGGCTTTGTTTAGATTTGAACCAGCGACATGCAGATCCTGAGAGCGTCTAGTGGCTACGCCAGAGGACCTAGTGAATGGTGATAATTCTGTATGTTGCTGTATGAAACCATGAAATTGTCTACGATTCTGTTCTCTCACTAACCGGTCTGGCTGCTTCATGTTTTCTCTACATTGCCTGATGCCGTTTGCCAAGATTAACTCCCTTGCCTGTTCACCACCAGGAGTTCTTCCAAAGGATGTGTCCTTCTTCCTGCACGCGATCCTGGTCAACCATTTCCGCTTCGGCGCCTACTACCCGACTAATGGAACCTCGGAGATCCCTTTTCACATGATCCAGACCATACAGAGGGCAGGCGGAAAGGTGCTGGTTCAGGCGTCGGTGACGAAGATTCTGTGTGATTCCGTGGGTAGAGCAGTCGGTAGGTAGTTCTAAGTGTGTGTCGAATGATGTCTAATTGTGTCTAATGGTGTTGAATGGTGTCTAATGGTGTTTAATGGTGTCTAATGGTAACTAATGGTGTCTAATATCAGAATTTGCATGTATTCTATCACAATTATGTCATCATCTTCTGGAATATTTTTACACAGTAAAAAGCTCGTTAACGGGATCGCTCAAGAAAAACACAATTTTTTTTTATGTTTGCTCCAGCTGGGTTATTTTATTATTATGATTATTATTATTATTATTATTATTAATCACGAGTCTCCCTTTAGCACGGCCTCTGTACGCCGTTTGGATACATTCTGTCTTTAGCTTCATACTCAAGTACTCGTCCATAATCTTACTGCAGCTTGAAAACACAGACTGAAGCTCAGTTCTCTCACCCCTCGTCTCACGCATTCTATCCGCGTGCATAATTATAACACCACTCACTTCTAATTGTAAGTAAAAAATGTTAAAGTAAAGATCCCTTTTCACACCCTAGGCGCATCGGGTATATAGGAAGAGCGTCTTATAATTTTACAGACCAATCGGCACTGGATGGGTAATGCGGTCAGCATTACGCCGGTCGTCTTTACTTCCCCAGGACAGCCATCCTGGTACCCATTTTAGGCTTGGTCGACCTGCGACGCCCCAAACCACTATAAAAATCCATGCAGCCAGCAGTGGGTTTCGATCGCGGAACGTTGGAATTACGAGTCGGACTCACAACCCCTAAGCCACGTACGCCACTACTCCTGCTTGTGTTTCCTCTTATGCTAAGTAGATCTTCTTACAGTGACACTTCCGGCGTTAAGGTAAAAAATGGATCATTACAATTATGATGAGACTGATGGTAATGATGGTATGTCAAATTCTGTCTCTCCGTGTCTGCAGACATTTAAATACAAATCTCTCATTCGTCTACAGGAGTTCGAGTCGGCAAAAGTGAATGTGAGATACGAGCCAAGTACATTATTTCTGACGCCGGAGTCACCAACACGTTCAAGAAGTTGCTTCCGGAAAATGTTGCTAGACAATCTAGTGAGGTTTATTATGTTATGTTACGTTCTGTTATGTTATCACAATCTACGCAACTGTACATTGGGCATTCCCATACGAGCTCTGTCCATCGATGCAGCAGCCACTCCAAGGTAGCTCTGGTGATAGCTTTTCTTAGAAGTTGGTTATATCATCTCCTGTCTTGACTTCGAAGACAGCATAGACTTGAACCAGCATGCTTTACTCCCTGTCACGCAATCGTGTTAGCGTCAGAAATGTATCATTATCCGCCAGCCTAGTCCCTACAATAGTGATGATATCAGCTATGGCAATCTTCCACCTGTGTGCATTGGTGCATTACCTGCCAGTTTGTCGGCTCCCTCATTATCATTTACTGATCGGTACCTAGGTCTACTCTTTGTTACCACCGACCGGCCACCCCAGCCTCACAAAAACGGGAATTCCCGTTTGAGCGGTAGGGCCGTATACCTGGAGCTGACCGAGGTAGATCCAAACGGTGGTGGGTAATTGCGACTTAAGAATGTTTCCTAGGGTGGACTGCCTGTTGCGATTTTCTGAAGCGCGTTCATGGAGTCTAAAACGATTATTGCATGAGTGGCTGCTTGCTGTGACCATGAGAGTTCTCCGGGAGCAGTGGTGGTGGGGGGGGGGGGCAAGGGGGAGAGGGTTAAACACAGAGCTGTGTAGAAGAATGTGAATGATGTGGGCTGATAAAAATTTTAGGATTATCATGGACAGATAAGAAATTTGAAGGGCATGAACAAAAAGAACAAGAAAACAAAAACATAAAAATAAACAAGAAGAGTCAGAAGAAAAGCACTAACAAAAAACGATGAAGAACAAAATGAACGAGAACAAGAAGAACAAGAATAAGACTAACGAAAACAAAAACAAGAGCAAGAGGAACACGAACGCGAAGAAAAGAGCAAGAACCCTTAGAACAAAAACAAGAAGAACAAGGATGAGAACAAAAACAACAAGAAGAATGCAGTCAAAAAAAAAAGAATAATAATAATTAGAATACTACTTCCTTACAAAAAATAGTAGAAGTTAACACATATTTTTAAGGCAAATAATTGTTGCTATGATTCTTCTTCTTCTTTCGTTCGCATGAAATAAATTGTCTATATCTGCAAAAGCCGTCTCTTGTATGAATTTCACTGTCTTTTGTAATTCACTAAGCGGCCCGTAAAGTTTGACTTCCAAAAGTGTCTCTTTTGGCCAAATGTTTTGCCTGAAAGCGTTGAATATGGGACAGTCTTGAAGGATGTGATCTGTTGTTTCAGGTGCCAGTCCACAAGTACACATGGCCGATTGGCCAATGTTAAATTTGTTGTACATGTGTGTTGCTATGATGTTACCCTAAGTTGTTGTTTTTGTCGCAAACAACATAATAGGTATCTACCCTTTGATTGATCAAGTCGGCCCCAGTTACGCTTTCCTCAGTACGTTCATTGGCGTAGAGGGTAGCACCCGGGATTTGAACCTTCCAGCCAGCAACATCTGGTACTACAACGCGTAAGTGACTTAACTTATATCAAATCAGTGGTTGATTTTTCAGCATATTAGTAAATAAATACCGTAATTCCCAAGGGACAAAAGCCTATCGTCATTTTAAGGGTACCCGTAAAAAAAAAAAAAAAACCTACTCCAGATATGTCTTATAGTGCCTTCACACTAAAACAAATATCTCGAAAACCATATGATTCAACACGAATTTTTGCATGTGGCTTTATATTTCCCTTGTCCTTACGATTTTTTAATTAACAGTTACACAGGTGATAGTGTGTTTTTAAAGTGGCGAATTTCTTTAATCTGTGTTTGACAATTTGTGTACTCCTAAAAATAGAATATATAATGATTAAAATAGGCTTAGGGATTCTTTCAACATCAATCCACATGTGCAGTGTTGCGTGGTGATGGGTGCAATTTAATGTTATGCAAACTTCCCTTTACTCAGTTACAATTGTTTGCTTTGGATCGGTGTCTGTTTTGTTTATGGGGAAAAAATTACAAAAAAAAAAAAAATTGAAAACTAGATAACTGCTCACAATTTAAAAAAAAAAATGCTTTAAACATGGACATGATTATCAACAGGTTGGGTTCCAAATTTTAACAACTTAAACCCAGCGGTTACTTAGTTACAGAATTTTAAAGTTAGTCCCGACTTCTGGATCGGACTATAGTTAAGACTGCCTGCCAGCTGCTAACCCTTTCTGCCGGGGTTAAGAAGATGCGCTCAAGTCTCCAGCACTTGACCGTGTGCCTTGTTAGATCTGTCTGGATTGTCTCCAGCCATGACCGTGTGCCTTGTTAGATCTGTCTGGATTGTCTCCAGCCATGACCGTGGGCCTTGTTAGATTTGTCTGGATTGTCTCCAGCCATGACAGTGGGCCTTGTTAGATCTGTCTGGATTGTCTCCAGTCATGACAGTGGGCCTTGTTAGATCTGTCTGGATTGTCTCCAGTCATGACAGTGGGCCTTGTTAGATCTGTCTGGATTGTCTCCAGTCATGACAGTGGGCCTTGTTAGATCTGTCTGGATTGTCTCCAGCCATGACAGTGGGCCTTGTTAGATCTGTCTGGATTGTCTCCAGTCATGACAGTGGGCCTTGTTAGATCTGTCTGGATTGTCTCCAGTCATGACAGTGGGCCTTGTTACATCTGTTTGGATTGTCTCCAGCCATGGCAGTGGGCCTTGTTAGATCTGTCTGAATTGTCTCCAGCTCATGCTTCCAGCCATGACAGTGGCCCTTATTAGATCTGTCTGGATTGTCACCAGCTGGCCCAAAGAGAGCCACTCACGTAAGACCTTTTTATGTCTTACTGTACCTTAATGAAAAACTTGAACATATTGGAAGGACGGGAAAGATCTGTGGAAGGATGGACAAAGGAATACAACAAGAGAAGATTATTTACAGTTTTTTTTTTTTTTTTTTCATGGCACAAAAGGGTATCAGCAAGCTGTTGTAGAGTGCAAGTTGTGAAGAGGTATTATTTTCCAAGCCAGTTCGCAAGGCATTAGAAGATGACGATGATAGTGATAATGGCGACAATGATGATGAATTTTTGTTTTCACGAATGAAAATATATCCGATTGTTACCACAGGGAGGACATCAACCAATCACTAGGCGACTACTTGAAGGTCAAGGCTGAAGAGGTCGAGGACACGAACATCCCCTTCTCATTCATCGCTTTCCCCTCTGCCAAAGATCCAGAATATGAGACCAAGTTTCCAGGTGGGTTGAGTTTCTCTGTTTGTCGCTGCCTTTCCTACCAATGATCTTTCTACTACCACAATGTCCTCCAACGCCTCACATTATGCTGTGTCGATTTGGCTAAAAATTTGTTAGCCTAAACATGACGTCACGTAGGTTTCAGCTCACCACGTCATCGCGTTATGTTAGCGTACGCATCAACTGAAATATTCCTTAGCCGAATCCGAATTACTAAGCCGAAACATCGAAAATATCTTCGTTAGGTCGATCGATATCCAACCGTTATTGCTGTACATACAGTGTTCTAATTTTCCTATGCTTAAGGAACTCGTTGAAGTTATGCCGGCTGTAGGCATCCACAAGATTCCGCTAAGGGACGACGTCATCTTTCAGCCATGCCTTTCACTAATTTATTCATTGACATTTCATGAATATCTACAAAACGACTCAATATATCCCTCATAGTGCTAACTAAGTTGCAGCTTAGGGTTTCACCATCTCAAAAGGCTTCAACAAATTTCTAGTGTTTGTTCCGAAATACAATGATAACAGAGCCACTAATAAATGGTAATGTTTCTCATTTGGCCTGTTGGCCATTTTCAAACCAGAATAAATTCAAGATCTTCAGGCTGCTGAACCGTATGTTTCCTGCCAATTACACTACCATGCATATATTTAAAAGCCCCCCCCCCCCCCCCCCCCCAAAGCCCCCTCCCCCCCCCCCCCCCCCCATTAGATTAGCTGGTGTAATTTTTAAACAGTAGGGGCCTTACGGCTTTAAATTTATGAGAGACTCATCAACTCTAAATCTGGTCCTGATCTTACATAACTATTCGGTACCCTCTTTATTATAATGATTGTTATTCTCCTCACATTGTGTTGTGGTTTACAGCTAGACTGCGATAACTGCCCCATTCGGTCAAACAATCTAATTTCACCAAGATCCTAATTAGTCGCCTCTTATGGCATGTTTGTTAGAAGGCAGCTGATCTATTTTTCCCACTAAACATAAGGCCCACACAAGAAAGCGAATGTAGGGTCAACATAAAAGCTTATTAAACACAAAATCCATTCGATTGGGATTCGAACTTCTGACAGCCAGAGCGACACTAGTGAGCTGGCTATTGGTCTTACTCTGGTTGTTTATCTGATGATGCGGCTACTCCAAAATTTAAAAAAAAAATACATTTTAAAAAATGGTTTATAACCACTTCAAAATAGCCGTCTCTGCTGTTTCAATCGTACTGGGCACTGTTATCATCATTTAGGAGGTCCTTTGCAGAACGTCGCTCTCATCACGGTCTTCTTCTTCTTCTTCTTCACTTCCTCTTTTACCGCTGTGGGTGTCGAGGGAGATATAAAGTTCTGTTTCTAGCTCTTCTGGCTGCCTCGACCATAGGCACATCGTACTGTTGTAGAGTTTCTCTGCTGTTATCCTTCCATCTTGTTCTTGGTCTACCCCGTGCTCTACGTCCTTCTTCTCTTCCCATGTATGCTTTGTATGGTATGGTGTCACAAGGCATTCTCTCTAAGTGGGCAAACCATTTCTGTGCCGACTTGTTCTCTTATGATCTCATTTCTGATCTTATCTCTTATGGTCACTCCTACAGCCCTTCTCAGACATCTCATTTCATCGGTCTGCCTGAAAGAAACTCGGTCTCTCGCCGGCTCTCCCGACTCATGTACTTTCATACTCAAGGAGTCACTTATATCCTGTGCCTATCTTCGTTTTGGTCGGCCCCTGCCCCTTCTTCCTGGTACCATGCCTTCTGCTATAATTGTTTTCAATCCGTCTTGGCGCTTAATATGCCCAAATTATTTCACCTTTCGAGACAGGATGCTGTTTATTAGCCAATCTTCCCTGATGTTCAGATCTTTCAAGATGTATTGGGCATACCTATATTTTAGAGACCAATCGGCACTTGGTGGGTAATGTGGCCAACATCATGCCGGCCACCTTTACTTCCCAGACCTCTACCTGGTATCTATTTAAGGCTGCGTCGACCTTGGCAGCCACGGTCATTTTTAAAAAAAAAGGCCAGCTCCGTTTAGATTTAACGACTAGTCTAGCTACTACTACACCATGGCGGTTGCTTCGTTACCACAGTGATCCTTAAAGTGATTTATAGATTAATCAGGTAACAGAAAATGTATTGATAGGCACTCATGGAAAGAAGTAGAAAGATAGAAGATATTGAAGTGATTTAGTATCGTTTGTGTTTGTGAATCTCAGGGAAAAGTTCAGCACTGGTAATAACGCTAGCCAACTGGGAGTGGTTCAAGGAGTGGAAGGACGAGAAGGTTCGACACCGTGGGGATCGCTATGAAGGGATCAAGGACGCCCTTGGCAGACAGATGTGGCAGCAGTGTGTGGATCTGTTCCCTCAGCTGGAGGGCCGGGTAAGCCTCTCCCTCTCTCTCTCTCTCTCTGTCTCTGTCTCTCTCTCTCTCTCTGTCTCTCTCTGTCTCTCTCTCTGGCTCTCTCTATGTCTCTCTCTATCTGTCTCTCTCTGTCTCTCTCTGTCTCTCTCTCTGTCTCTCTCTGTCTCTCTCTGTCTCTTTCGGTCTCTCTCTCTGCCTCTCTCTCTGTCTCTCTGCCTCTCTCTCTGTCTCTCTCTGTCTCTCTCTGTCTCTCTCTGTCTCTTTCGGTCTCTCTCTCTCTGCCTCTCTCTCTCTCTATCTCTTTCTCTATCCCCACGGCAACTCTAGTTTGATCGATGTATCCCTCCGTACTGCTCCACAAGGATTACCCAATCATCCTGAAAGTACAAAATCTCACTCTGACGAACAAGATAGATCCGAGATACTCCGTTTAACCTCTAAAGAGGCTAACATTAGGGCACCCGCCACACTAGCCAGACATACCCTGCAGTCCTAGCCATGCACAGACAACGACGAGCACCTTACAATACCTGTCAGGCACTTCTACGCAAGAAAATCATAGAATGTCCGATTCTAAAACGGGATGATTTTTACCAGACGCCAACACAAACTTACTACAGGACCGCAATCTGGAAGCCCAGCCACCTTGAGCCCAACAAACAAGCATGTAGGCCATGTCCCCCTCTCTAGAAACTTTGAAATGTTAAGTTCACCCCCCCCCCAACCCCCCCCCTCTCCCCGCCTCTCCCCCACCCCAAATATGTAGACGTTCTATTATAAGTTGTTGGTTATAGATTTCTATTATACTTATATTTCCTATTATTATACTTTTATATTTGCTTCTTATTCAGTACATAATAATAGTAAAGGACCTTTTTCCGCATCTTCAGGAGTATAGGGCATATAGGGCTAGACCTGTATTTTATAGACCAATCGGCACTTGGTGGGTCAGCATCACACCGGCCGCCTTTACTTCCCGGGACTGCACCCGGTACCCACCTAAAGCTGGGTCTACCTGGGAGTCAAGGTCATTTTTGAAAGAAAAAAAATGCCTGGCTCTGCCAGGGAGCGAACCCACTACCTTTCGATCCGCACTCGAGCGTCTATCGCTACGCCACGGCGACTCCCCTCTCATTCATTACATAATAATAATAATAATAATAATAATAATAATAATAATAATATTAATAATAATAATAATAATAATAATAATAATAATAATAATAATAATAAAATTGCTTCTTTTTATGTTAGTACGCAATCGGTATGTAGAACCGGTACTGTGTTAGATGTGTGTTCGTTTTTTCGACACAACTTTGACACTTTATGCTGTGTGCCAGTACTTTTTTAGATGCTTTCTGGTGTGTACCGTCAATTTTGTTTTCTAGAAAGAAAAAAAAAAAAAAACACTGAATATTAGTAAAAATAGAATTACAACAATAACAATAATATTTATTATTATTATTATTATTATTATTATTATTATTATTATTATTATTATTATTATTATTATTACTATTATTATTATTATTATTATGTAGAGTAAACAAGGCAGGCAGAGAGGGAGTGATCATGCATGGGGAAGATATTGTGATCTCAACAAGCTCCCATGACTTTATGCTGTGGCTCATCATCGCCTTATCCTGTGATGTCCACGCCTTTCTGTAGCACTAGATACCACCATCGTATAGACGAGAAAAGTATTATTACTGACATAAACAAGGCTCGTGTCATCTGAGCTGGCTAGACAATTTGTCAAAGGCTTATGGCTCTTTGATAGATAGATGTCCGAGCATTGAGAGGAGCAGAAGCTACAAGTGACGACATCTTATGTGTAGATAAACTGAAGCGTCAGTTAAAAATCACATGCAGCAAAGAATGGATGGTAAAACACTTCGCAATGAACAAGTCAAGGAACAGTTGCAGCTTCATCTGTAAAATAGATCTAAGGCACTTGAAGTGGAGAGAGATCAGAGCAGTGCTGCCACTTTTCTTTGACAAAAAACATCCAAAACAGGGTCAAAAAATATCTACAAACATCTAAATTTGCGTGGAAAACATCTAGAAAAAACATCTAAATCGAAAGAGTAACAAATTACATAGCAATTAATATGACTTACCCTATAGAATCATGTCCTCGTCTTTACTGAAGTCTGCCTTACAAGATTCACAGGATAAACTTAACTTGGAGGATGAAGTTCAAGCTTCAGATCCAAAATGACTCTGGTAGGCTTTAGCTGTTCTAATTTCTTTTAATACCCAATCAGGGGGCTGATAAGTGGAACAGCCTTTTCCTACTCTTATCAGGTCGAATTTTATTGTCAAGATAGAATTTAGGAGGTCAAATTTCATCCTGTTTCTTGGGTTAGGTTTGATAAATTCACTCCAAATGAACAACATCTAGAAAGACATCTACCATGTAAACGTCAAAAACGCCATCTAAATGCAAGGGAAAACATCTAAATCTGGATGTAAAACATCCAAAGTGGCAACACTGGATCAGAGCATTGGGCGCCAATGGGGAAAAGGTGGGGGAAAAGGGGGAGGGGGTGTAAAGACCACAGATTTAGAAGCAGCAACAATTAGTCTAGGATAGTGGTTCTCAAGTTTCCAAGACAGGCCTGGCCTGTGTGCCCAATTTGTGACCCTTTGAAGATAAATAAAGCCGCGACCCTTTAATACAGTTCCTCGTGTTGTGGCGACCCCCCAACCATACAATTATTTTCGTTGCTACTTCACAACTTCAATCAGTATGTGTTTTCCCTTGGTTTTAGACGACACTTTGGAAAGGATCGTTCGACCCACAAAAGGGTCGCGACCCACAGGTTGAAAGCCGCTGGTCTAGGACTAAACAAACAGTACTAAAATAGGAAATAATTGGGCTAAGAGAACAAAGAAGTTCAAGAGAAAGTCTATGGCGAACGCAGAGAGATGCCAAAGGTGTGGACTGGGTTCCATCAATGATATCGAAGGAATTTCCCAGGAAAGAACGGAATGGAGAAATGGACTGTGAGTCCCGTGTGACACATAATGGCACAGTAGGATAATGAATCAGACTGGGGTCTCCTATCCCTTTATAGCACTCCATATATAGCTCGCCATTTCTAGCACCCCTTTCTAGAGCCGCATTTATAGCACCCCCTTGCTGTCTCCCCCATTTCTAGCACCCCCTTGCTGTCTCCCCCATTTCTAGCACCCCCTTGCTGTCTCCCCATTTCTAGCATCTCCCCCATTTCTAGCAGCCCCTTGCTGTCTCCTCATTTCTAGCACCCCCTTGCTGTCTCCCCATTTGTAGCACTCCCTTGATGTCTTCCCCATTTCTAGCACCCCCTTGCTGTCTCCCCCATTTCTAGCAGCCCCTTGTTATCTCCCCATTTCTAGCACCCCCTTGCTGTCTCCCCATTTGTAGCACTCCCTTGATGTCTTCCCCATTTCTAGCACCCCCTTGCTGTCTCCCCCATTTCTAGCACCTCCTTGCTGTTTTCCCATTTCTAGCACCCCCTTGTTATCTCCCCATTTCTAGCACCTCCTTGCTGTCTCCCCCATTTCTAGCACCCCCTTGTTATCTCCCAATTTCTAGCACTCCCTTACCCAGTGATTTCCCTGTATGTGGGCGCCCTGCTACCTCTGATAGTTCCATCTGGTGCCTCCACAGAAGGTCTACATGGAGGTGGGGACACCGGTAACCAACCAGCACTACCTGGCCTACCCACACGGGGAGATGTACGGACTGGACCAGGGACTGACCAGATACACACCTGAGGTGGCTCGCAAGCTTCGTCCAGCCACGGACATCAAAGGCTTATACCTCACAGGTAGCCATGGCTTGGTTCTTTATCATCCTCAGTGTCGTCGTGGTCACTATCTTCATCATCATAATCGTTGCCATCATCGATATAATCGTCATCCTTATCATCATCGTCGTCATCATGGGAATCCAGTGTTTTCTTCACGACAAGGGCTGTCAGTAATTCATCTCTCCTATTTTAAGCGTCGGCTTCTGTGGCAGCAAACCGCTCTGCGTTGGTTTCGACAGTGGTACCGAAAGCCGACTGAGCAGGCACCAATAGTAAACTACTGGACATAAATTTGTGTTAAGAAAAGAAACCAACAGCCGAAATCAATGCTAGGGTTGGTTCTGCAACGTCCAGTCAATGATACATAGCTAATTTGAGTAGTTTGTACTAATCTTGAAAGATCTGGACATTAAGGAAGTATACATTGTATACAGCTTCTCGTCTCACCAACTGAAATGTTTTGGCCATATTGGACAAATGAATAGCAGAAGACCAGTGCATGCCTCTCTTGTACACCCTGCCAGGCCGTGATCGTGTCGTATCCTCCTGTTTGATGCAGGTTAACGGCTTTGGTGTTCTCTAGTTCTGTTTCCTTCAACCCTTCTCTCTGTTGTGGTTTTGGTTCCTTGTGTTCGGCACAGTTAGTTAGACAGTCAGTCAGTGAGTCAGTTAGTCAGTCTTTCAGTCAGTCATTCATTCAGTCAGGCAGTCAGTCAGTCAGCTAGTTAGTTTAGTTAGTTTAGTTAGTTATCAGTCAGTCACTTAGTCTGTATGTCAGTCAGTTAGTTAGTTAGTTAGTTTATTTTAGTTAGTTAGCTATTTAGCTAGTTAGTTAGTTAGTTAGTTATCAGTCAGTCAGTCAGTAAGTCTTTCAATCAGTCAGTCAGTTAGTCAGTCTGTTGGTCTGTCTGTCAGTCAATCAGTCAATTAGTCTATATGTCAGTCAGTCAGTTAGTCAGTCTGTCATTCAGTCTTTCAGTCAGTCAGTCAGTCTTTCAGTCAGTCTGTCTGTCATTCAGTCAGTTAGTCAGTCAGTCTTTCAGTCAGTCAGTCAGTCTTTCAGTCAGTCAGTCAGTCTTTAAATCAGTCAGTCAGTCTTTCAGTCAGTCAGTCAGTCAGTTAGTCAGTCAGTCTTTCAGTCAGTCAGTCAGTCAGTCTTTCAGTCAGTCAGTCTTTCAATCAGTCAGTGAGTCTTTCAGTCAGTCAGTCAGTTAGTCTGTCAGTCAGTCCGTCTTTCAATCAATCAGTCTTTCAGTCAGTCTTTCAGTCAGTCAGTCAGTTAGTCAGTCTGTCAGTAAGTCAGTCGGTTAGTCTGTTTGTCAGTCAGTCAGTCAATCGATCAGTCAGTCAGTCAGTCAGTCAGTTAGTTAGTTAGTTAGTTAGTTAGTTAGTTAGTTAGTTAGTTAGTTAGTTAGTTAGTTAGTTAATCGATCAATCATCCTTATAGCCTATCGGACAAGTCTATTAGAACTCG